GCCAGTTAGTCTTCTTGAAGGTATGGGATATGGCACAACGGGAGCGTTGTCAACAAGGATAAATATATTTATTTCCCAACAGTTTCGGGAGGGGTCCTCCCTTCATCAGGGGATGAGTTATACTATATATATATATATATATATATATATATATATATATATATATATATATATATATATATTTAAAGCCTTGCACACAGCCAGGCGTTGGGTGAGGGGATGTCCTTGAGGCAGCGAGTATCCAGCGAAAGTGTTCTTGGGCAGCGGCAGTGGTTCCTCGGTTATCGTTTTATGGAGGTATATTTATTGTCGTTTAGACGACGGCTGAGCCAAAATTTCACGAGTTATCTAAAAAGTCATATAATATGCTATTTATAGTGTTGTCATTATGAAATATGCATAACTATTGTATAACGTCATCGTGTGGGACTGTGCAAGTTTGTATGCGATAACATCGTTGCCCTAAATGTCAGCGGAGTCATGCCCACATTGAAGTCTTCAGGCAGCTTAACATCGTAAAGCGATATCTGTACCAGCGCTGTGATCGTTGACAAGAGTGTGGTGACATAAAATAGAGCCCAATAAACTATATGAATACTTGTCCGGTTTGGCGAGGCCTTGATAGAGGCAACTCTGTGTTTCGACAGTCGCGTAACTTTTCAACGTGCACAGAACGCAGTGCTTTGGCTCAACTTGACGGGCATCTTACCTGTGTTTACCACCTTTATAATCTGCGTATCTTTTCATCCCCTGATATACTTTGCAGTGCAGGTTAGCAAACCGGGCGCGCACCTTGCTGGCCTTTTTTTCTGTTCTCCCTTTAAAAGTAGATGAGCAAGTTATATCATTCAGCTATAAAAAGAGAGCGCTCTATTGACAAAGAAGCTTGTCTATAACACAAGTTGACATTTAGCTTTACCAGTGTCTGCCAATGCTTTTCTGGTCACGAAACTCTGCCCGCAGTTTCATACAGGAAAAAAAAGCTCCCGCTAGGGTCGCAGTAGTCAGCGAGGGGGCCTCCGTGCGCGTGCGCTCCATTCGGCTAAATATTTTGCTGGTTAGAGGCAACAGCTTATCTTCCATGAAGCTGTAATAATTGAACTACCTTTGCATACTTCACCTGCCATACTTTATGACTAATGCATAAGCATATAAAAAATTATTTTCGCGTATTTTTTAAAGATAGCAAGGCTGCAGTGGATCAAGTCGTGCCAATGAAGCAATATTTGCTATATATGTCGTTCCGGCGTAGTTTGCTACCCGAGGAAATGAAGCGCGAGAGTATTTGTTGAGGCAAACTATATATACATAAATGTCTGACACTTGGCAAGTAGTGCAAACCTCCCCCAATTCACAAAATGAAGTTTCACAGCGAGGGCTGACCGCCTGCACCGCGGAAGTTTGATACGACCTCACAACTAAAAAAACTCTGTATTCATGTGAACAGTTGCAAAAACTTCATTGACATTGCTGCAGCCTACCTCACAGAGCTTCGGCGACACTTCAAATCAGGAACGACAAAACTTTCGCAAGGTAACGTCTGTGTGCCGCGTGAATTTTTGTTTTGTTCATTTGCTACACCCTAGTCTGACAAGTTAATGTTACATAGACGTTGCGCGAGCAAGAGTACGTCGCACTTCACTTTGGGCAGCTACGCAAGGGCACTCGGGCATCTGCCATCTAGCACTGATGGCACTTTCACAAATCACAACATGAGTTGCTCCGCCTGCTTGGACGGGCTACGTTTGCATGGCATGATCCAATGAATTCATTTTATTCAATGAATTCAAAAGCTTTATTCTGCACTGTCACATTCCGGAGCTGGCCTTTCACAGCCTGCAACACAGAAAAGGAGCTAACGACTTCATCTGTTAGGCAGGCTGTGGTGCACAGTTTGACGTCCTCTGTCGCATCTTAGGGGGGGGGGGGAGATACAAAGCACAATTTATTCGCCCAACGCCTTTGGGAGCAGCAGAGAGATGGACAAAACGAGCAGCGAGGTTATGCAAGGATATTTAGCTTACCTTCATCACCAGCTGGGGTTGCATCGGATGTGGCCGCGCTTGAAAACGGCAAAATGTTTACTCTTGGAAAGTCAGGTGAGGACAATGGACACTTTTTAGCTACTAGCTTTATTCTCGCTGACCGTGATCGCGGCTTCGGCTTGCTCGTGTTACACCGGCAATCCTTGGAACAGGCGAGGAACAGCGCCGGACCGCAACGGTGCCTTATCGCGTTGCAACGACACACTTTGACCACTCACTACGAAGTTGTCCATTCAAGTAACCTCCGTGGCTTCAAAATGTTTCTGACACACTCTAGCGCCTTCAGATTCGAAGTTCAATCCACCAGCTTCCTGTCACAGTATTGCACGTTTCTACTTCTCACAATCATCGCTGTCTCTCGGTAAACAGAACAACGACAGCTTTCCGCTCGTGTTTATGTTGTTGGATTACCAATTACCTTAGCTGGACTAAACATATTGACTCCGTAATTACAAACGCTAACCGAAAACTGTTCTTCCTTCGAAGAGCTCTAAAACATTCTAATTCCATGGTGCGTACTCTAGCGTACAGGACTATCATTCGCCCAGTGTTAGAATATGGAGTAATTGTTTGGGACTCCTTCACTAAAGCTAACATAACTAAATTGGAAAACGTGCAGAAGAAGGCAGTCCGCTTTATCTTTAATAGCTTTGGACGCACCTCTATAACTGAACTACTACATCGTGCCAATGAGCCTTCTGTTACCGAAAAAAATCGTTTATTACGACTACAATTTCTTTACCAAATAATTAAAGGGCATTACAAGCTTGATGTTTCCAATATCATTTCCTTTTCTTCTGGGTACGCCACCCGCCAAAGGCATCAACTTACAATAACCCCTTTCCAGTCCCGAAATAGCTGCTTCAAATATTTCTTTTTCCCTCTTACAGTAACTCAGTGGAATGGACTAACTAATAACCAAGTGATGGAGCCGTCCTTAAAGTTGTTTGCAGCAAATTTGACCTGATTGTTCACATCATGCCATTCTATTCTATTTTTTGTTTGTTTGTTTGGTTTATGCATTCTTGAGTGCCAACATTGTGAAATTATATCTGTAACCACCCTGCTAAAATCTCTGTAATAGGGATTGCAGTATGAATGAATAAATAAATAAATAAATAAATAAATAAATAAATAAATAAATAAATAAATAAATAAATAAATAAATAAATGTAGCCGAAGCGGCAACCCGGTACGCAGCATGTATTCGGAATCGTCTCTTACGTGCATGGTCCGTGTCCTCGCATAAACTTCGCCCAGTCGTCGGCCGCACAAGCTTAGAGAAACAATGAAAACTGAACATTGATGCTGCCGGATTCTTCAAATTCCCAGCTCTGTCTACGCAGCGAAGCTATCCTGCAAGCCCCCAACGCGCTCCTAGCGCCGCCACGCGGGCAACCGTAGCACCATAGCAAGTTGTCGCCATAGCGTTACGGAGGAGTTTCGTGGCCAGAAAAACATAGAAGGTCTCTGGCTTTACTTTCGGTACTGTCAAGGTCACACAAACGAAATTAATATACGCAAGAGGGCGTGAGTATAGGCATACCTGTAGGTAGAGGACCGATCTTAATATGAACGAAAATCTCCAGGGCACCAGAGAGCATTGCATGAATGAAGCGAAGTCGGCCAAACCACGTGCGTAATTAAACGTTCGGGCCACCTGTCTTCTCTCATGGGGGTGATTAATTACGAGGACTCGCCACGGATAGTGCAAGTCTTCCTAATAAAAAACGGCTCAGCCCTGAGTCGCGTCTCAGCCGACGCACCTTGCAAGTTTTCGAATGCTTGCGTTGCTCTCTACTTCTATTTTTCATTGTTCATGTTTTCGAAGATGTAATACCAAAAAATTATAAAGTTAAGCACTAAAAAGTTTCTTTAGCTTGCTAGTACTTAACTGTGCTCCAGCTTACTCGAGTGGTTTATGACATTTCGTTGTTCTAGCTGGCCCGTGTATATTAATTATGTCGTGTTTGTACAAATATAAGTTCACGAAAGCAAAGCGTAGTGCGGGGCTTACTTTATCCCTTTTAGATAAGGCCCTGTCGTCGCACGAGATCTCTAATTGCATTTTTGTAGCGAGGGCATGAGGTGCTTCTTCGAAAAGGTGAAATTCGGGCAAAAAGTGAACTGCCCTTTATTGAAGTACGCATACGTAGATCTACAGATATTACGATCTCTTGGCATGTTTACAGTGGAAAAAATAACATGTTCATAAGCAGTTTATATCATGACCCAAACAAAGAATGTTTTCGTACCGCTTAAGGGAAATTCCGACCGACCTCCCCGAGGTATGAGCTTATACTATTTTATGTGAAGTCGTCAGTGAGTAGCATGTCACCTGGATTTTGCGATTGTGAATACATGCAATGCATTTAGAGGTGGTTCGACGTCTTCGTCTAAACTGAGTAGTTATGCGAATATTGTGTGCTTACCAGTCATGCCGAGTAGCTGTCGTGTAAAGAATATTATACCGGTCCGACGTAACCCGAAACGAGTCTTGAATCCACGTGATAAAACGTAGTCCTGGCTTATTTGAGGGAACATCAACTACATAACCAGATGTCATCAGTAAAGACGGGGCTTGCAGGCACGGACAGGAGAAAGAAGTCAAGATGATTGAGGCTGATTATTGAGGCACGGCGTATCGATTATAGTAGCAGCGCATCTTGAGCCGACCGTCGATTAACTTGCATAAAAATGAAATTCAATGCCTTAACAGTTAATTTTCATGCAGACCCCTACGCATGCCAGATTAATAGGCTCGCCTATTGCACGGATATGAACATATAAGTACTTATGGTTTCTTTTCTCTTTGCCTTTGTGCACGTTATCAGTTGTTATTCAATTTGTGTTGTGTCGATTTCTTTCTTGTGTCCGTCTTTCGACACCCAGTCTTTTATAATGACTGCTAACCAACAAGCTCAGCCCTTTGAAATTATAGGCAAATGTCAGAAATGAGTGAAAGGTTAACGTGATTCACTTTATTGGTATCAGTCTTGATTGGGGGTCATACAATACGACAATGGGCCCATGACACCAAAAGCTTTCTACTTCACAGGGAACGTATATCATTCGTGAATCGCTTATTTACACGCGAATTTGCAACAAAAGGCTGTTGCTCGCGGTAAACTCGTCGTAGTAAACTTCGTTCGCCTTTGGCACGTTTTTTTGGTATATCAACACGAGGAGCCTGCGCGTATTGCATCTATAACACAGTACTAGTTGTACAACAAGAGCACGTGGCTTGTCGGTACACAGCTGCGGGTAAGTGATTCGGCCGATCTGCTTCCACGCAACACTAATTCCTTGTGGCAACTTGAAGCGAAAAGGACCGATGTAACCGATGATCGTTGGCGTCTTCTAGGTGGCAAGGGGTGGAGAAGCATACGCTAAATGGACACTCCCCGTCCACATTCCCCACCGTGATTCAACGAGGGTTCACACCCTCAAGACTACATCATGTCGATGCTCATACATATGATGCTAACTTGTGCAGTCAGAGATCCTCACTCCTTCAACTCTCGGGGAATACAAATGTCAATGCGATGATGCTGCAGGCTGGCAAAGGGTAACCTATTTTACCTTTGTCAAACATATAGTATAAAATTAAGCAACAAAATTCCTACCAGAACGTCTTATTCCAATCGCCTTTTTATATCGATATGCAATAATAAATGCTGGTAGGACATTCAAGCACATTACGAGAACTCGCAAGAAAGAGGAGCTCCGCTTGAAACGCTTATATGACACACAGTACAACAATAAACAACAATGTTGCCGGCTTCGGCGACATTATAATAAGGATCATGCCATCACTAATAAGGATGACCCCATCACTACTTGCTACACATGCTGACCAGCGGTTCGCCGGATGTGGCACGCAGTCTTCGAGATGATTTCGTCGGCAGGATTACGAGACCATTCCTTTCGAGGAATCATGTAAGGCACGGCATGGCTATCTTCTTGCTTCGCATTTGGCATTCCATCGACACATATGCTTCCACTGTTGCTTGTTATACTTTCATTTTCCTCTTTTGCTGCAAGACGGCTGTCATTGATGCGATAGCTGTTTCTCCGTCCGTGCAACTGTCTAGCACCGGAACAACCTGTGAAAGGTAAAAATAGGAGAATGACCCATAATAGCACCAAACGTAGGTCAAGAACAGTAGCCAGGGCTTGTAATTGCATACAGCAAGTGAGATAGCACACATTTAGGAGGCAGCGGGGTGACCGCCCCTCATGGTCCCGTCACCCCAAAGTGTGCCCTATATATCGACTTAACAGGAAGCTGCGACAACTTTTGCCGGATACTCTGTGCTCGCCCATGCAGTAGTAACTTAGCAACACCATAACTATTCCTGTTTAAATGTGAGTTGTCCCATTCACACTTAACAAAGGTTCACTGCTTAAGTACTGCGGAAGATTCTGAAGTGAACAAGAGCATCGTGCAAAATGTATCACTAGCTATCTCAAAAATACAGCAAGTCTTTCGAACACTATCGCAAAAGGATCAAGTCAGAAATGCACGAAGAACCCGTCAACATTACACATGAGTAACTTCTAATTTGCAAACGTTCTCGCACGGCTGCAGTAATTCGAAATGTTTTGGATGCTCAGTTGCTCCGTGGCTCAGTGGCCCTCCTCGTCTTCTATACTGAAAATTGTATAGAAGACGAGGAGGGGCCACTGTCATAATCGTAAGGATCATATCAGAGTGTTGTAACAAAGAGTGTTGTAACAAAGCCCACCTCGAGGTCGACGGTGGGCTTTGCTATGGGGACGGCGGCTCACACTTTTTTCCACACTGCATGTAATTTTATTACTTCTTTCAAGAATCCAACCTACTCATAGTAATCATCCGCGTGTCGCCCTTGTAAGAGCAACGTAGCAAAATGCGTGGTTTGTGGGCCTGCGCGTACTATCTCTGGTCTCACAAATTATCGCCGTTGTGATGCACTTGCGCAGCGTGGTTTGACGCTGGAGCGATGAAGTTATAAATTTGGGAGGCTATATGGGCTTGCGATTAAAACACTGTGGACCTAACGATAGCACAAGTGGTGACACACACACACACACACACATACACACACACACACACACACACACAGACACACACACACACACACACACACACACACACACACACACACACACACATATATATATATATATATATATATATATATATATATATATATATATATATATATATATATATATATATATATTTATTTGTCCAGATGATATGAAAAATGAAAAAGGTTGTTAGCACAAAGCCACGAGTGGCCATTCCTCCATTGTAGTGCGACTGAAAGAACTCATTATTTCGGAGCATTAAATCTCCTAGTTTAGCTTATTTTGTTTTGTTCTATCTGAATTCGCGAGCAACACCTACGGCACAGTCATGTTCCTCACTGCTAAAACAACGTGACCATATCAAGCATGCAAGTCTTTGCTATGCTGTCTAACTGACAATTGATCAATCGTTAAACTAAAGCGTAAAATATTCAAGGATCGTAGTGCACCGCAAATCACGTTGCACGAGAATGCGAGCCTGATGAACATTTATCCGAACCAGTCACGCCTACCGTCAGATGGCCCACTTGTAGACGCTCTCACTGACTACCTCCGTGACAGGCAGCGGTCCTCGTTGCTGGCGCTCGACGGCGTCCCGCTGAACGTCTTCTTCAGCTTCCTCCTCATCTTCGTCATCCTCGTCGTCTTCTTTCTCGACGGGACTGGGCCTTGGAGACACCAGGTACACGTGCGACAGGTTCTCGCCGCTACCTGTGGCGCCCAGGCTCTGGTGCAGCGTGTCAGCGGGTGCACTGGGCCGAGCCTGGCTCTCCTCTTTGATCGGAGTGAGCCGGCAGGAACTGAGCGCTGCGAGAACGCGAAAACCATAAGGCTACGATATTCATCCTAAAGACGAGGCGTGCAAACACCGACGCAGGAAATGTGTTAAGACGATGCAAATCACCACTAACAACTGAAGGTGCGCACAACAACGAAAAATAAAGGCACGAAGACTTATCTGCGCATGCCCATGCATTATGCCAAACTATATATAAAACTGGCACGCGTGGGGGTCTACTCGAGGGATAACTGTTGAAACATATTGTGACGACGCGGGATCGACGAGTACATGAAGAACTGATGCATTCGGGGGTCTGCTCATAAGACCGGAGCCAGCCAAAGTCCCGGTGAGATGTCGAGGAGAGAGCCCGTGCGGTCAACAGGAGCGTGTATTTACATTATATACAGGTTCAAGGTATAGTGTGATACTACAATGCTTGTTTAGCATGCCTCGAGCGTCTCTGCGCTCGTGTTTTTAAAGTCCATGTCTTCCCAGGATCCCTTGCAGAGGAAACAATGAAACCCAGGATGGTCCAATCAAATTGTTCTCTTCACCTCCACCCTCTAAATGGGAGGGCGAAACACGACCTCCTTCCCAATTTAAAAAAAAGAGGGGATAGGCACGCCCAATTCGTACAATGGTGAGGGAGAAAACACTGCACAAACATTGCACCAGGCGCACGATACAGCACAGCGCGAAGATGTCGGGTTCTATGTAGAAATCAAGTACGTAATTCGTTGCAGTGAGGAGTCAACGGTGCCAGGCAAGCCGCGGTTTGTAGAAACGGTGGCACGGTGGCGCCACAGAGGACTTGAGAACGCACTCGAACATGGACCTCAGTCACTTGGCCCATTGTCCGCGGCACTCCTATGAGCAAAGACGTACAAAGATAACCACCTTTTTTAAGCCGCTTTGATTGTAAGCAGCCCTTCATAGGCTGTCGGTCAGGCGGGTATACTTAAAGGGGTTCTTCGAGGGGAGGCGTCTGCGCCTCAATATTCCAAGTACGGTTGGCGTGTCGTTGTCGCTTTTGGTTCAGCTCTGGGAGCGCTGTCCAGCAATGTCTCACGTCTAAGCGGCGCCATGCCAGGGAAGCCGATCACAACAGAACCACGAACAAATACGTTTTATGATCATAGGAAAAGAGTCCAACGTCTTTTTCGTCTCTGCGCTCGGGCAAGGACATTCGCGCTGCTCTGTTGTCGTCGCCACTAGCACATACGCGTGGCCTTACTCCCCCTTTAAAATAAATCATTGCCCTGATGTTAAACGTTCGGGAAGCAAAGTAAAACAAAAACGTCACAGAAAGTAAGGCTTCATCGAAAACACGTGGACAATTTCGGGTGAACATCTGAGGCGCTTCGAACAATGAATGCTGTCCAGAGTTGACGTTCCTGATGCGTCGCAGAACCGTGTAGGGTCCAAAGTATCTTCGCAACAACATTTCGTAGAGCCCACGCCGATGAATGGGTATCCAGACCCACAATTTAGCGCCCACGTTGTATATGACGGGTCTGTGCCGGAGGTTGTAACGTTTGGCATGATAGTCTTGTTGTTTGGTGATTCGCAACCTGACAAGCTGTCTGGCTTCTTCTGCTCGCTGCGTAAACTCTTCAGCACCCGTCTCATTGCCATCAATTCTATGAGGAAGCATCGCGTCGAACGTTGTCGTCCCGTTCGTAAACGATACTGAAGGGTGTCTTCTGAGTGGTCTCCTGATGTGTTTTACGCGAATGTGACATAGGGCAGGGTGTCGTCCCAGTTCTTGTGCTCTACATCTACGGACATGCTTATCATGTCGGCCCGGGTCTTGTTGAGACGTTCGATGAGCCCTTTGGTTTGGGAATGATACGCCGTTGTCTTCCTGTAAGCTGTACCAATTAGTTTGAAAATGGTGTCCAAAAGGTAGGCCATTAACGCATTATTTCTGTTGGTGATGACTATGGCGGGATCACCGTGTCTTAAAACAATGGCTTCGATAAGAAAAATGTGCCGCTTTAGATGCCGTTACCCGTGGCAGAGCGCCTGTCTCCACGTATCGGGTTAGGTAATCTTTGGCGACGATTATCCGTCTGTTTCCAATGGCAGACGTTAGGAAGAGACACAGAATATCCATGCCAATTGCAAAAAAATGGCTACTTAGGCTAGTCGGTATTGCATTTTTAAAAAAAAATACTTTCCTAGTGCGCAGGAAACGTTTCGAAAAGAAGACAGATAGATCTGTCCTCTGAAACGTTGCCTACGCAGCAAGATAGCATATTTCTTTAAAAAAAAAAACATGCTGATTTGTGCAAATTGCGTCGTCGGCACTTGGAACAGGCTGCAGCAGGCCAGCTGGCTTGATGGATGCTGGCTTGCGACACTGGCATTACTGCACGTTAATTTTGACGACCGCGGCAAGTCTCGACCAGTAAATAGTTTTGCCTAATACTCGACAATGTTCTTGTGGAGCCAAGGCGACCAGTGGTAGCTTCGTCGCGGCAGGCTTGCAGTACCTCGATTCGAAGCAAAGAAAGAACGACGAGCAAGTAGCTGCTGCCAGCGGGTGAAAAGATCTTCTTATAAAGGATTGATTGATTTGTGGGGTTTAACGTCCCAAAACCACCATATGATTATGAGAGACGCCGTAGTGGAGGGCTCCGGAAATTTTGACCACCTGGTTCTTATAAAGGACGTCATTGCGCAAGCAATACGACGCCAGCCCTCTCGAAAATAACTACGGCGCGCTATTCGTTCGTCCTTCTAGGTAATTTACAAAGGGTAGCAGTTCAGCGATCGTCCCGCTGCTGTTGAGAAAAGGTGGCATTGTCCACAATTCACAAAAAGGTTGTGTCGTCGTCGTCGTCGTCGTCCTGGGGTGCTGTCTCAACAGAAGACTGAGAAAGGCAGTCGGCATTTGTGTGCCGTTTTCCCGACACGCAGACTTCACGAATCTCGTAGAATGCCTGCTGCTGGTCTTTGCCCCATGTGAAGGGGATATCTTCTCTAGTGAGCTGTGTCAATGACAATGCCATGCACGAAGAATCGGCAATAAACCACCCGTAATAAATACAGAGTCTCAAAAACAAAAACGTCCCACGTCACACCAACCGTTCTCTTCTTCTTTCACACCATCGCACATACTCGCATTGGCATGGCTAAACCTCGTTCCATGCCTGTGGCATTACCCCCCCTTCGAAAAAAAAGTACCACCCCGATGACCAATGTCGATTAAAAGTTAAAGTAGTCGCGTACACGCACAAAGACGCGTGAAGAAGCAGTGTCAGGTGGCTCGGGGGTAGTGTGGCTTCATCCGTGACACATGAACAATGTCGGGCTGCTGGGAACATCGAGATCGCTGAGCTGTGTCTTCAAGCAGAATTTCGTAGTTCAGATCTGTGAGGCGCCGTAGTACTATATAGGGACCGAAGTAGCGGTGAAGTAACTTTTCCGAGTGGCCACTTTTGCGAACGGGGATCCACAGCCAGACCAGATCACCGGGTTGGTAAATGACATGGCGATGACGGGAGTTGTATCTCTGCGAGTCGATTCGTTGTTGTTTTCGGATCCGCTTGAGTGCAAGCTGGCGGGCCGCGTCGGCGAGCCGGAGAAAGTCGTTCGCATCAGTAGTAATATCGGTCGTGTCAGGCAACAGCATGGCATCAAGCATCGTAATAGCTTCTCGGCCGTGAAGCAACCGGAATGGAGTGAAATCCGTAGTCTCTTGAACCGCAGTGTTGTAAGCCAACGTTACGTATGGCAAAATTGCATCCCAGTTCTTGTGATTACGGTCGACGTACATAGATAGCATGTCAGCGAGCGTCTTGTTTAATCTCTCCGTCAGACCGTTGGTTTGTGGATGGTATGCGGTTGTTTTGCGATGAGCTCTTCCACTAAGTCTCGTGACGTCTTGAATCAATTGGGCTGTAAAGGCTGTTCCATGGTCAGTGATAAGAACTGTTGGCGCTCCATGGCGGAGGACGATGTTGTTGATAAAAAAATACGCAACCTCATTGGCGGTGCCTCGTTGTAGGGCTTTCGTTTCGCAGTACATCGTTAAATAGTCAGTAGCGACTACGATCCAGCGGTTGCCATCATGTGACTTCGGGAAGGGCCCAAGCAAGTCCATGCCGATTCGTTGAAACGGTTGTGACGGGGGTGCAACAGGCTGTAATAAACCAGCAGGGCGCACAGGTGGGGCTTTACGGCGCTGGCAATGATTGCATGTTTTAACGTAATGCTTGACATCCTGGGTGAGCTTTGGCCAGTAGTAGCGAGTCCGAATCCGGGCAAGGGTACGTGCGAGTCCTAGGTGGCCGGAGGAAGGCTCGTCGTGGCAGGCAGATAAAATGTCAGCACGTAGCCCTGATGGAACGACGAGGAGGTACTCAGTCGCATAAGGTTCGAAGTTCTTTTTGTAGACGATGTCGTTGCGGAGACAAAATGACCCTGAACGTGCATATGCCGATGGTGGACTCGAGCTGCGACCTTGAAGGTATTTGATAAGTTGTTGGATCTCTGAATCATTCCACTGTTGTTGGGCCAAGTCGGATTCACTGACTGCACAAAGAAAATGGCCATCGGTATCATCGTCCCTCGATGTCGTCGTGAGGGGTGCGCGCGAAAGGCAATCAGCATCAGTGTGCCTGCGGCCCGACTTGTAGATGACTGTAACCTCAAATTCTTGAAGGCGTAAGCTCCACCTCGCGAGGCGCCCTGAAGGGTCCTTGAGATTGGCCAGCCTACAGAGGGCATGATGGTCCGTAACTACTCTGAATGGACGGCCATACAGATACGGTCGGAACTTTGTTATCGCCCAAATAACAGCAAGACACTCCTTCTCCGTGGTCGAGTAGTTAGTTTCCGCAGATGACAAAATGCGGCTAGCATAAGCGATGGGACGTTCAGCGCCGTCTTGCCACTGGACGAGTACTGCACCAAGACCGATGTAGCTTGCGTCAGTGTGAAGTTCGGTGGTGGCATCTTCATCAAAGTGCCCTAGTAAGGGTTCACTCTGAAGGCACTGCTGAAGCTGGGAAAAAGCGGC